GAGAGGAACATGACTAAAGACTGTGTGTACGCTATCCCATGCAGCTGCGGAAAGGAATATAAAGGAGAGACAGGCCGCCCCCTCAAGGTAAGGCTTCAAGAACACCAGAAAGCTGTAACACAAGGGAAGTAGAAAAATCAGGCGTGGCTGACCACATATGGAGAGAGAAGGGAGATCACCACCCTCTGTGGGATCAGGTTGAGATCATTGACAAGGAACACCATTGGAAAATTCGTAAACTTAAGGAATCAGCACATATGCCACAAAAATCTCTTGAGCCGACCAAGCATAGAAATAAATACAATATGGGAACCAGTAATAAGGAGTGCCAGAGAAAAAGCAATGATAACAACATAGTTGCAATATGAGCTCTGGTAAAAACATGCAATGATAGCAGCAAATTGCAATATGAGCACTGGTAAAAATGGTTGCTGAAGACATTAGGTTTATAATACCCAGAAATTCATACCCAGAAATTCATACCCAGAAATTCATACCTCAAGGACACATGGCACAGTGGATAAAGGCATTGGTTAGATCCAGTGGCAGGACCCAAAGAGTGTGAGTTCAATACCCGGTTAAGGCAGTGGAGAACTTTCAGAGGGAAATTAACAGGAGATAACTGATAACTGACATCCATCAAACATGGCACGTGGAACTAGAACAGTCTACCCCGGTGAGCGAAATAAAGGGTTCAGTTCAACATTCCAACCACCTGAAGAAGGCCAGAGCATACAACGGCCGAAACGTTGTAATAAATATGGCGACAAAGATGAGGACAATAGTCCGAATAATGTAAATAATGTAAATAACACCTCATCTCAGAAATATAGACAGACTATGAAAATATATGTTTGTAGCACAAGGCCATCGGAGAAGTGTTGACCAGCCTGGTCATAACTAAACCTAGATAATCTGATTCATGATCCATTCATTCTTACAACTGACTCCTTCACCATAAGAACTCATCTTTCTTCACTGAAGCCATCATTTATCAAAATTCCACATATTCGCTGGGAACCTACTCAGAAAAACTCTAGGGTATAAAATGCTTGATAGATACAATCGAGCATTTTGTTTTCAGATTGTTGTTTTTGTCAATTTTATCTTGCCTTTTTATTTGCTGAAAAATTTTTACAACAGTCACTGGTCCTGGAAATTGAAGTTTCTTCTTCTGGTTGTTTTTTAAAAATGTGGGCGTGCTGACAGGATACGACAAGCATTTCTTTGTGAAGTGTTAATTGCCTAGAAATATAATTCAATATGTTTAATTCCCATAATAATCTGGATATCGTCAATCAGAAAGGAAGCATTTATTTTTTTATTATTTTAAGAGTAGACACCATACTAACTTTAATATTCTCAGTAGTCAACCTTATGTATCAAGTTTAGGATAAGCTAAAATTACTACCAGATGAAAAATGAAAAATAAGTTTCACTTGATTGCATTTGTTTTAAGCATAAATCAGTTAAAAATCATTGCTCTTCCATCTGTGTAAAATTTCCTCAAGTTATTTTTGGTTTAGTAAGAAAATAATTTCTAGTTTTTTTTTTCCATTGGGTTCTATAGCCATCCAAGGCTATAGAACCCAATCTGTCCTGTTATGTACCCATAACTGGGGGGAAGAAGAAGAGGATTCATACCTTTCCCAAGGATAATTAGCATGTAAGGGAATGTAATGGATTCAACTGGGATTTGAACTTGGCCCTCAAATTCCTCAATCCAAGTCGCTATCCATTACTCACCGTGCCTCCCTTTATTTTAGTACTGACCCCATTTGAACCCAGTACATGTAGTCAGGGTTCCAGCGTTTCTTACTACTGCTCAATTATTTTATCACTATTCCATCCCACACACTTATATTTAGTCATTTTATTTTTCCTTGTGCTAAATATTTTTGGGATTGGAGAGAAAAAGATTAAATTAAATACTGAATTTCATAATTTTTTGTTTTACCTAAAAGTTTAAGTACTCTGTACATTTTACATTGAAAATAATGGAAAAAATGGGGTTATTTGTTATCAGGAAAAAATACAATTGCTGACAGACTAGGGTTATATATATATATGTGTGTGCGTGTGTGTGTTTAGGCAGCAATCCTTCTTTCATGCACATTTCATTGAAAACAACAGACAAGGTGCTTTTATTTAGTTTTTTTATACAACTTCTCATGCGATCTAATAATTTTTTCTTTTCGGATGATAAATTATATAAAAACTATCCAAATGTTCTTTTTATCCAAGTGCTTTCGGCTATACATTTAGCCATTTTCAAGGATTATATTTTAACTGTGAAAATTAGAAATAGTTTGTTGTATGTATGTTTTATAAAATGTTTTAATTTTTTTTTGTTTCAAACATGGTCAAGATATTATGTCCATGTTCGAAGTTAATATTATTAAGTGTTGGTTTGTTTGTTTTTATTAATAAGGCTTCCATTATTTTTAGCCTTTTTCTGCATGTAGATGATGCTATTATATTAGTGTTGTTAACATATATGTTCTGAATAGTGTCCAGTAGGTCTCCATGAATATTTAAATGAGATCTAATTGAGCTATTGTCAGAAAGGTGTAGAGTTAGTCTGCCTGTCAAACATGTTGTTGTGTGGCCTATATAATTATTTACGAATTTTGATTGATCAGGAATACAATTCCTTAATGGACATTTAAATTCATAAATAATATTTGCCCTATCTAATTTTGTCCTAGGAGGTGAATTATTTTTAACTATAAGGTTAGAGGTTTTAAATTTTTTTTTTACAATAAATAATTAATCTAATTTTTTTGCTATTGTCTTCTGGTGTTATGTATTTTTTTATAATGTTCTTAATTCTGCATTCATCCTGTTTATAATTTTTCATTCATCTGATTTTTATAAAAATATTAATATTATTGTTTATGTTTCTATTCTCACCATTGCTATTAACTACCTTAGACAAGAAATGCCTAATGTGGAAATCCAACAATTGATTAGGAAATCCATTATTAATCAGCATTTGCTTTTAATTCTTTAAAGAAAAGCGTACAAGAAGATGAGTTCTTGTGCGCTCTCGTGAGGACATTTTTAATAACACCTATTTTATATCTAAGAGGGCATTCACTAGAGAAATTAAGATGGCAAGAGTCTTTACTAGTTGGTTTTTATGTATATGTATATATTTTATAAAACATACATACAACAAACTATTTCTAATTTTCACAGTTAAAATTCTTGAAAATGGCTAAATGTATAGTTGAAAACGCTCAGATAAAAAGAATATTCGGACAGTTTTTATATAATTTATCATCTGAAAAGAAAAAAATTATTAGATCACATGAGAAATTGTATTAAAAAAACTAAATAAAAGCACCTTGTCTGTCGTTTTCAATGAAATGTGCATATATATATATATATATATATATATATATATATATATATATATATAACACAACCATAGCTCTATTGGCACTCATTTAAATACACACAAAAGCTTACCAGACTCCATCTGAAAAAGACTAGTAGAAAATACAAACATAATAGCCACATCCAACTCTTGATATTTGCTAAAAGAATAGCCAAAAGCATTCGGATATGCAGAACTTTGGTCAGTTTTTATGCACTTTCTGTCCAGAAAAGAAGACACTTGGACGAACACAAGAAAAATAAAAAGCTCAATCACAGTACCTTGTCAGTCATCTTTAATGAAATATGTATAAAAGGGATTTTTGCCTCAATACACAATATATATATATATACACACAATATATATATATATATATATATATATATATGTATATATATATGTATATGTATATGTATATGTATATATATATGTATATGTATATGTATATGTATATATATATGTATATGTATATATATATGTATATATATATATATATATATATATATATATATATATATATATATATATATATATATATATATATATATATATATATATATATATATATATGTATATGTATATATATATTATATATATATATATATATATATTTATTATATATATATATATATATATTTATATATTTATATATATATATATATATATTTTATATATATATATATATATATATATATATTTTAAGACATTTTTATGTTTATACATTCTTTTTATAGATACAAATATTTAAGTAAATGCTCTTTTTTTTATAATAAACAGTATTAATAACATTTACCAGCCTGAATGTATAAGCATAAAAATGTCTTAAAATAATTGTGGGACTTTGTCCATTTCATAATGTGTGACGTCATTTGTTTACATTTGGATACACTTTGAGCAGATATGAATGTACGTGAGAGATTCATGGAATATTGAAGTTTAAAAGCAGTAAAATCAACCTTGCCAATCAATGTCACCCTTCAACAACAAATGTCAGTTACACTCTTACATCAAAAAAAGCTAAAGATGCAAAGATGCTGAGCTTTAAGTTTAAATTTTGACATGTGCCATAGATAGATGCATAACCTAGCTGAACCCATTCAGTTTTCTACTGCATTTGCTTTTATTTTAATTTGTTGTTTTTAAATTTTTAGATCAGTATTACTGCACTTGCTGACATCAAGGACACAGTTTTTTTCCTGAAATAATTCTAAAAAATTTGCCATGCAAAATTAGGGTTTTCATAGGCCCCCAGAAGAAGGTTATCTTTGCCAGACAGTAAACTGAATTCCTGTATGTTATACAAATTTTCAAGGCTTATTTCAGAAAAATAACTGTCTCCTTGATGCCATCAAATATGATAGTTTTGTGAAGGAGTGAGATATGTTGTGTGATACTAGATGTAAATTAATGAACTTTCAATACATTATTACCTTAATAAATTACTTTCCCTCTTAATTAAAACACCTTTCTTCAAGTCAAAATTATGGTCTAACCTATTATGAGGAACGATTAATACAATGAATGTATTGTATTGTGAAAGATCCTTTTTGTGTTCATATACTCTTTTAGGGTCTTCTTTGAAAATGTTGCCAATGTAATATGCCCATTTATTTTACAGGTTCCTCCACCTCCTGATGCTGGTGCCTTTAAGCCAAGGGCTCCAAAGGCGACATCATTTCGCAGATTCTATGAAAGAGGTGACTTTCCCATTGCCTTGGAATTTGATACAAAAGGAAACAAAATTGCCTGGAAGGTACATTTTTTTTGCTATTATTTTTTTAAATTTTCACCTGTAGTGAAAAAACAGCTAGTGATGACTAAATAGTTAGGCAGTTGGAGCACTTTAATGCTGTGAAGCTAGCAGCTGGTTACTGAAATTTACACAATTGCTACAAACAATAATTTTACCTTTATAGATCATTCACAAATTAAATGGCGACAAAAATCGTTACTTCATGTGATACAGAAAGCAACTTTACTTTACATCAGTATATAAAAAAGCAAAAACATTTGTTAGTTTTTATGGGATTTGAACTGTGGTTCAAAAGATCTAGATACACCATTGTTACACAGGGACAATAGAATAATATAACAGTAAGTTTGATTCTAATAATTCCTTCTCTTGCATTTCTTACCTGTGGAACTCTCTTCCAGCTTTTTGCTTTCCTGTAAACCTGTACAATCTTCAAAGATTTAAATGCAATGTCAGTTATCTTCTGCCTTCTTAAATCCAGTTCTTTTTTATTGTCCTTTCTACTCAGTAGCATTTTCTTAGTTTTTTTCACTCTCAATAACATCTTGTGGCTTTGCTTGGAGTGAAGTGATTAAAAAAAGAGCTAGATAAAGTATTTTTGACCAAAATATGCTTTTTTTAAACTAAAACCTTTCAGACATGGTATCATTAAAAAAAAAATAAAAAAGGGAAAAGGCATATTATATGTAACATTTGAAACATGTAACTTATGAAAGACATGTAACTTATATCTGACAAAAATAAACTTGTAGCAAGTTTTAAAAATAAAACTCTTGAAAAATAAAACCCAACCCTAATTATATTGGATTTATCTTTCATGAGCTTATGCTTTTGGAACTACTTAAATAGAGTGGTCCATTTGTAAAAAATAGAGAAAAAATATTTTTGTACATAATTTTTGTATCTTATCATTCTTTAGATCTTCCTTAGGCTGTAACTCTTGTCAGAATCAAAAAATAATGATTTTTTTACCTATTTAAAAGGAAGGGTCCTGTTTATAACAGTGTCAAATTGATCCCTGATTTTTACAGGTATTATACAGCTGTTTTGTGCCCAAAAACTTCTTTTTTGGTTGGGAGATTAAAAAAAGTTTACCTTTATAGCAGAAATGGATATATATATATTTAATTAAAGAAAAATAATTTACATAACTTAATAAAGGTATGCATTTGTTCATTCTTCATTTAAAATAAATAATTATCAGCCTCAAATGTTCGTTTATGTGTATCGAAAAAAATCCCATATAAAATTTTTTTTTTAATTTTTTAAAAAAATTTGGAAAATTAAAAAAATATGCAGATATCAATGATATTTTCACACTTTCAAATTTAATATTTGTCAATAACAGCAAAAAATAAAGGATTGATTTTACACTATATCAATGTAAGGATACAAAAGGTGCTTATCTCCATTTGGTGGAGATAAATCACATTGGTCACATGACAGCTTTGTGATGTCACTCTGTACAGTAATGAAAAGTCAGTCAAAATTCAGTTCGTTTACAGCAACTAAACAGTAAGGTTGTTTTCTTTAGCTCATGCCCCCACCCCGGCCTGAGAAAAGGTTAAATCTGCCTACCCAGCAGCTTACAAGTCCATGGTGTCATTTCCCTTTGGGAATATATTTTTCCCAGATATAGAATGAAACTCCAGCTCACAATCCTCTATTTGGGAAAACCCAAGACACACTCTTGCCCATTCATGGAATATGCCTTTGCACAAGGCATAGATGAATCCGGCCCATTTGAATCTGGCATCCTAAAAAGGGCTTCTCTATGTACAGGAGTATCTCCATATTATATGTAAGACCCTTCCTTTTTGTTTCTCCTTACACTCTGCTTTGATTTGTAGATATATGTGATATATTATCCTCCACGTGGGACATGTGTATATATGTAGATATAGCTTTGTGTATGTTTTAGTATTATAAAAGTCTCTCTGAGAATTCAGCCATTCTGTTCCATTCGTAAAATATCGGTGTTATTATATCATGGATATAATAATGCTCATAATGGGGAAAATACAAATGGGGAGAATAAATCTTTCTTTCAAGTACTCCTGGTACATCAATATTATGAACAGGACCCCACTTCTAAAATGCTAAAAACTCAGTATTTCTCAATTCTAACAAGTTGTGTAGCCTAAAGAATATCTAAAGAATGCTAAAGTACAAAAAGTATTTCCAAAATGTTTTCTTTATTTTTTACGAGTAGATCAGTCTATTTAATTTGTACTATATTTTCAACTGTTTTTTAAGTTTTTAATTTGTACTATATTTTCAACTGTTTTTTAAGTTTTAAGTTTTTGAATTGCATTATTTCAAGTATAACCTTCTCTTATTACCTTTGGTAGGTTATAATCAAAAGTATTTAATAAAATAAGTTTTGTACAGAACAAGACTACAAGTGTAGGCCACCTAGTGTGGATGGAACTCAGAATAGTAATGAGCCATGAAACTAGTTTATTTGTCACTATTCCATAGTGAGCTCATATTCAAAATATTCTGTATATACTCATGTATAAGACAACTTCATATATGGTGTATCCCTTGAATTTTTTGTATAAATTTTAACCCCTCCAAAAAAATTTACTTATCTATAGTGCAACCAATCACTGAAAAATGAATGATTTTTAACCTCTTCAAAAAATAACCTGTGTACAGTGTAACCCCTATTTTCTGCATAAAAAGTTGATCATAAAAATTTGCACTATATTTGAATATATAAGGTAGTTAAAATCATTTCAGATATCTTTATAGAACCACCAGCACCCAGAGAATGTTTTACATCAAGTAGTTACCACTTTAAGCTACAAACTACTTTCTTCTCATTAATATCCTGCAATTTACTACAAACACTTGTAACTAATCGTCTGATAGCATTATCAGATTAGAGATTTACTTGTCAGAAAGAAACAACAGAAAGTTGTTTTTTAAATAAGATTGTATGTATCGATTAACTGATATCAGTCATTCTCTCTCTAAACAGACATTAATAATTTCTATTTTTGATACCTTGCTATCACACTCATTTTCCACTTTGTGCCTTTTGCAGAAAGAGTTTTGTTAGTTTCTCATCATAATTATCAGTATTGTAGTAATTCATTATATTTCTCCAATTTTTTTTAACATCATAAATAACAAATTCATTACAATTCATTTTTGAAATTTAAGTTTAAAACTTTGGATATTTTATTTAATAGAGTTGCTTTAATTCTTCTGTCATTTATGCAGATATAAAAAGCTGAGTAAAAATATATTTGGGTCATTCCATCTCAAATCAACCGATGGCCACAGGTAACCCTCTCAGAAAAATTTGAGAAAATTCACAGGCATTCCTTGATCAAATTTATTGATGAATACAAAATAATAGGTCTTTATCATTAATGATTTTAAATTCAGAACAACTTGAAATTTCACTTCATTTTTTTCTTTTTTGCTAAGGCTTTCAATGAACTTCTGAAATTCATAGCTCCATGCTATTGCATGTACAGATTTGAAACTTACTGACAATGGTTAATATTTACTGTAGATTGCAAAAATATAAACAGTAAAAGTAGGTATATAGTAAATATTATAATAGTATTATAATAATGGTTCTCGTATTCATTTAATACTAGAATTCATTTAATTCATTAAAATGACTTAATATTTTTATTTTCATAATTAATATTATAATACATTTATTTTTTTAATAAATAATTATGTTTTTCATTATTGTATATCTACTTTTGCATCCTCCTATATATTCAATAATAATAACAATAACGAATTTAACCCATTACTGCATAAAGTTTCCTTAACATTTAACACTTTCTGCTTAATCTACCTTGCTGGCAGATTTTAAATTTTAGGTAATCCCCACTCTCTAAGAAAATTAGATGCTATGCAATAATGGATTAAATAGTTTCAGCATCCTAGCTTTATAAGAATTCATTAAACCAAAGAAGGTATGAAAGTTATTAATTATTAAATTTAGGGGATGGTCCCAAACTTTTGACCAACAGCATACATGTGCTGGTCTAATGTCTTTTTAAATTAAAAACACAACAATAAAAGAATCCAAATTAATGCAAACATTCTGTGTATGTCAAGAAGTATTTGTTTAGTAGCAAACTAGAATTTACTTTAAAGTTTGGATCAAACACAAAACAGGAGTAAAATAACTTTACATTGTATTGCAATTGCTTCATTATTTAATAAATTTTGTCAAATTTTTGCTTAAAATTCATACTCATTGGACTACTCCTTCTGCTAGTTTAACACAGTATTTAAGTTGCCATAATTTGAAAATGAATTCCAATTCCACAGAAAAGTTTTATCAATAGAGTTATATAAGAATTTGAGTATGCTTTTTGTATCTTCATATGCTAATCCTAAACATCTTTTAAAAATATTTCAGGTGGAAATAGAGAAGATGGACTACCATCATTACTTGCCTCTGTTCTTTGAAGGTCTTCGAGAAACACAGCATCCTTATGAATTCTTTGCACGTCAAGGGATTCATGATATGTTAGAACATGGAGGCAATAAAATATTGCCATGCATTCCACAATTAATAATTCCAATTAAAGGTAAGATAAGAATTTTTTTCTGGACAGAAAAATGGTATGACTTAAACACCAGGAAAAAAAACCCTTATATCTGTGTTTAGAGTTTGAAAATTATTTTTCATAAATATCATTAGCTTATATTTTTAGACTATTGAAAAGTGCTGAGTTCTTTTCCTGGTTAAATTATTTGCTAGCTTCTCCAGCTTAGGTTAAGTTCAAATAACCTCTCTGATCCTCAATCATTTTTGGTGATTCATTTAACAGATCATTTAAGGATTTCATACTGCATCCCAAACAAAACTACTCACAACAATTATGTTCTTGCTTTATTTTCTGAGGCCAGTGTACTAATGATGATGGGAGTGTCTATGCTGATGACATATGTATTCATAGTTGGGATAAGAATCAGAAAATCAACATCCTCTACCAAGTGTTCAAAGAAATAAGACTCAAGAGAAACCTTTCTAAAACAGAAACAATGATCTAGAATTGGAATGAAAGCAGTGATGGCACCTACCCTGGATCCATCATAAAAATACAGGATGTGAAATTAGTAAATACTAAACAATTCAAATACTTCAGTGTATGGATCAGTTATAACAAATTTAGTATAAGAGATAAGGAAACTAAACATAAAATAGTCTGCCCTACATGTAGTTTCACACAACACTGCAAATTGCTGCAAAACCAAAATCATATCCTGAAAACTCAAGTCATGTTCTTAAATAGCCTCATCAGATTGATGGATGTCATGTATGATGCCAAATTCATTCAGAAATATCTAAACTGTTGGCTGTATACAACCACTTTCTAAGATCAATGGTTACAAATGACTATGAGCAAGTGAAGCATGTCAATCTTAGTGAGCACCATCCCTCTTCAAACCTCAGGAACTAGCACTACAGAATCACAAAGTACTGTACCAAATAAGGAAACCACATCACTTGAAGACTTTCAGCAGAAACAACAACTAAAATGGATAGCACATGTAACTCAAAGATAAAATAGTAACATAATCAAAATGTTGACATTCCACACTATATCAAACAAATGGTTAGGAAGGAAGTCCCCATCAATACTGAAAAGATCAATAACAGTTATTTGATTTGAGAAACCTATTTTCCTGAAAAATTGTTTTAAGAGAATAATTTAATAAATTTCAACTGAAAGTAGCACTGACTGCTCAGTCAATAAATGCTGGAAATGTTTCCTTATAATGAAACAGCTATCGCCATTTTTAATGTGGCACGTTATTGAAACTAAAATAGAAAAGAATACTCAAAAAAGATAAGGAAACAAGGATACCTGTTTGATTCCAATAGGTATTTATCTGCACCCCTCACTTGAATGGAATATGTTACAAAGACAAGTTTAAAGTGGGAGTTCCATATGTATACAGGACCAGGGTGAAAAATTGTTTTATCAGATCATTGCAAAAGTTTGTACCTGATTTTCATTGTTAATATAAAATGACCACAACTTGACATTGAAATTTGTTTTGGTGCCAATTTCTGGTGTGTTCTAGATTGAAACCTTTCATTATTCAATTGTGAGTCAGACTTTGTTGAATGTTGATGTTTTGTCCACAAATGAATGCCTTAAAGATGGAGGATGAAAAGTTACACTTTCACCATATGCTCTATGAATTTCAGAAAGGAGTAAGCATTGAAACTACAATAAAAAACATTCAGAAAGTTTATTTGGATCATGCTCCAGCTCTTTGGATGATAAAAAAGTGGTTTGGCAGATTTCATTAGAGTGATTTCAACCTAAACTATCAACCACACTCTAGGCAACATTCTGACTGATGAAGGTGCTGTGTTTGCCATCATGGAGAATAAACCTAAGATTTCAATGGAAGAGATTGCTAAGAGTTTGAAAATCAATATCTCAACTGCCATTTGCTATTTGAAGAGACTTGGGTTCAAGAAAAACAACCAATTTTAGCAAATCAAAAAGGTTTCATTTCCCACCACGACACACGCAAGACTACATATGACAAAAAAATTTGACTCTGTCAAAAGTTACCTCACAAGCTCCTACAACAAAAAACATGAAGTTTTTATAAAAATAGGATCAATAAGCTTGTAGAACAATGAGATACAGTTTTTGAAAACAATGGAGACTATGTAATTTTTTTTGTGAGTATATATAAAATTTTGTTTTTAAGTTTCTAATCAGGCTTTTGGAATGATCTAATAATATGGCAGAATTGTTTTTTTAACCGTGACTGCCTGAACTCTTGATTGGCAATAACTTTCCTTTTGTCTAAGTAAAGAAAAGAAAAAGAAACATTTGGAAAAAATTAATACTGTTTGAAACTTATCACAACAGTTCTATTTACTTTAAGATAAGAAAAAATGACATAGTCAAATAAAAAAAGGAAATTAGGCCACGAGTATTACAATTTCATGAACAATGTTATTTAGACAATGTGTAAGCTGAGATGCTGACAGAAGGCAATGAATAAGAACAGCGAGAGGGAGGGAAATGAAGATTTTGAATAATTGGTGGTTGTAGTAACAAACAAAACAGAATACGCTGGTATTGTTTGTGTATATGAAGGAGTTTCTTTTAAGAATGAAGGGAAAATAAACAATTATTAATAATTAGTTCTGTACTTGTCACTTTGCTGATTGCAAGATGACAAAATTTCAAATCTAAATTGTTTGGCCATTTAAAGTAATACATTTATTAGAAATTTAGTTTAAATACATTATTAGGTATTAGTATATCCATGATATACTAACACCTTAATGTAGATTTTAATTTAATTTGATTGATTCATTTTCTATGAATTATCAACCCTTTGCAGGTTATTTAAAGACAGAAAATTTTTTTAGATTGTAAGAATTTTTTGGAGATAATAATGGTTCAATGGTACAAGTCTTACTAATTAACCCATAGCTAGTGGGGAGAAGAGGTGGGTTCATACCATTCCCAAAGGTATTTGCATGTAAGTGAATATAACAGACCTAACTGAAAATGGAACCCAGCTCTCTGATTAATAATTCCACTATCTACTACACCACCTGAACATTCACACTTACAGCACCTGGTATTCCCAAATGGTCATCCATCTAGATCTAGACTTGATGTTGCTTAACTTTGTTGATTGGGTAGGAACTTAACATAATGGAAGAAAGAACGAGAATAACTCAAATTTGTCCCACATGGAGGAATTGAAAACATGGGCACAATTCAGCCCTGATGATATATTTATTTTATTATTTAGGATGCATGTTATTCACTCATTCACCAAACTGCCTCTGGTTACTATGTCTGGCTTAATTGTAGTTTAAGCAGCAACTGAACTATTCTCATCAACAGGTTATTACATAACCCTCAAGGCCCTTTAAGATATTAGTAAATTCATTCTGTAAAATGCATTCCTGCAGTTGAAATACTCAAAGTGCTGCTAATTTAAACTAAAGATTAGGTTTTGGTACTTAAAACTTTAACTGATTTACATTTTTAACTAAATTGAAGTTTTTGGTATAAAAAAAACTTAGCCCACCTTAAATTAAATCATGTTTTTTTTTTTTTAAAACTTAACCTGACTCACATTTTTAAACTAAATCAATGATTTTGGTGTTTAAAAATTTACCTCACCTCATATTATCAAATGAAATCAATTGTTTTAGTGTTTAAAACATACTAAGTAATTTTTTTTACACCAAAATTCTTGATTTAGTTTTTTAATCAGGATAAAGTTTTAAAAACTAAAACCATTGATTTAGTTTAAAATAGCAGCATTCAGAATATGTTAACCTTCAAAATTTGTTGCGATTGATCAATTTTTAATATTTATGAGAAAACAGCACAAAAGAGCAATAAGGGTACAAAGGAAAGTTTTCATATCTTATGGAAAGTTTCAAAGGAAACAACATAAAAGAGCAATAAGGGTACAATTAATAGAATGTTGTTGGTGTACGCGTGTATCATATGGAAATATTCAGAGAGGAAGAAAATTAAGATGTAAACCAGTATGAAGAGAAGGTAAAGGAAATTTCAAATACAGATCAATGATAAATAACAAATATATACATTATTGGCATAAGTAGGAAAGGAAGAGTAGGTATTTAACTGCACACGCACATTGAGTGGAACATGATGCAAAGTCAAGTTTAAAGTTGGTTGGTAGCTATACAAAAATGGCTGAAACCCCCCTCAGTACTTTCCATTTTGGGTATGCCACAGATACCAGCTAATGATCCTGGCCCCCTTCTGAAGGAGAGGTAATGCCGATCAAGTGCATAATATCAATTTTAACTGCTCCTCCCCTGGCCTGGCTGCATGAGGAGAAGCCAAAAGCTGAAGGGGACAACTGATTGAGGCAAGTTGGTATTGTTTCCCAAAATGCAACTTACATTAGTAAAATTTAATTACTAAGGTCATACAAACTGCTTCACAGTAACATAGATTCCATATCCTTTCTAACACAAGAATGAAGTGTGATCATCCCTTGATTGATTGATTGATTTGTTTTTTATGGCATATCAGCAACTTTGCAAGTTATTTAAAGCTAGAAAATCTTTTTTTAATAGATTGTAAGAATGGGGGGGGCAGATAATAATGGTTTAGTGATACAGGTCTTACTAATTAACCTATAACTGGGGGGAGAAGAGGTGGATTCATAACTTTTCCAAGGGTATTTGCATGTAATTGAATATAACGAACCCAACAAGATTTGGAACTAAGCTGTAACAATTATTTCTTGATAAAATTTCTCAATAAGTGTACATGTAAAATGTTACGAAAATTACTTAATATGTTGTATGCTTTTTGTATTACAGAACTTCATGCCATTTATAAATAAGTTTTGTTTCAAGTGGAAAATGAAATGAAATAAAAGTATTTTTTTATTTTTATATCTAATATATATTTCAGGATAGGGAATTAATTTTACTTGTTAGCAGTTTCTAATGAAATTCTTAAAAATTAAGAATTTTATAACATATTTTGAGTATAAAAGAATTCTTAAAAATTAAGTCATTTTGAACAAAGGAAAATAACTTACTTGATTTTATAGATATTTGCTTTGCCCTAAATTCATACAAGTCCAGTCACATTTGCAAATAAATTTTATGAAACCAGCCAGCAAGATATTTTGGGGGTGGGGGGATGACAATTTAAATGACAATGTTTTTATGTGGGACAAACTTCTATAATAAAAGCATATAAGAAAATTTTTTTCCTAATCATTCTATCTGACACTCAAAAAGTTTAAAATTTATGGTTATTGACCCAAAGAATACAAGAATTCTTCTTTTTTTTTTTCATTTTGAGATCATTATATTTTTGGCATAATATGCTTTTTTAAAATTATTTTTATACTTTCTGACAATTACTAATGTCAAACAGGTTCTTGCAGTCTATTAAATTGGTTTCTTGTTTCTGTCAATTACTCTTGTGTATAGGAAACAGTAAGGTCAAACTGACAAAATTGTTAAAGCTTAAAAACCAAATGTTTATTCACTGATAAAATAACATGGAAACAATTTTGAAACATTGGTAACAGAATTTTTTCTGCTGTCAACAATATTTTAAATACTAAAATAGAAAATGATGATAGAAATAGCTTCTTTCTTTTTTTTTTAATTCTTTGCAAAATTTCTTTGTTATGTAGGGGAAAATGCTATTGAGGCCAAACCACTTAAGATTTGGAGTAAGAAAAACAGCACATTTCTAATCATGGAAATGCATCACCGATGGACTTTCGTTACATGCATGATAGTTAATAAATAATTTAGTATAAATAAAGATTTATTCTATTTATTCATGTATAATGTAATACATTTTTTGTCAGGATCAAGAGTTAAAAAAGGAATGGGGTGTCATATTATAACCAAGTAACCATTGACAAAAATGACACAATCAAGATACATAGATGTTCATCCTGCTTTTTTACCTCACAGCAAATAAACAAATTGCCTATATGACATAAAAAAAATTGTTTATTACTATTAGCTAGATATTGTTGGCTTCATGAAACAAATTATTTAAATTAATGGCATGTTTTTTATGTTTTTCAAATCAAACTGAAGAAAAAAATGATGACATCATCTTGAATTTTGCATTCCAAATAAATACCTCTATGCAAATTAGATTGCAATTAAAAGCAACTGGGCCTTAATGAACTTGTGAATTTGGCTAATTGTAAAGAAACATAACTCCTGGCTTTCAGACCAGGATTTATAGAGTAGCCTGTGTTCTCTACCTCTCTAAGCTATGAAAGAAGCTTGATCCTGGGGAGTTCAACTCTGAAGCTGCACCATCCCTATTGCACTGAAGAGAGAGGGTTGGTAGATACTGACACAGTAAACAGTATTGGACTGTATATATGGCACTTCACATTAAACTAATTAATATCCTACCACTGTGATGAAGTAGATAAATGCCATCACAGTGTAGTATCTGTTCTCCTGTCTGAAATGTTTCTGCCTTTGAGTAGTTCATGGTTCTGTAATAAGAGATGCATAGTCCAGATGGTTCGAACTTTGCAGCAACAACTTCCTCGTTGCTCTGACTAGGGAGGGTTGGTGGATACCAATAACAGGGTGACCACTGTCACCCTGCTATTGGTATCCAAAAATTGCCCAGCCCCTATGAAGGAACTGGGCAATATTTGTCCTTGATCTATATGTACACATATGGGCAGCCCACATTTAACTAACCTTGTATCACATCCTGGTAACATGGTGAGATGTGTAAATTCTAGATCAAAGTGTAGTATGTGTTCTTCGAAGCTATGAGAGAAACCTGGTACTAGGGATTCCATTCCTGCATCAACATCTTCTTCATTGCACAAAAGAAGGAGGGTTGATGGATACTGAGGCCAGTGTGACAATAGTTTGGGGACTGGGCAATTTCTGCTCTTGGTTTTGAAAATAGAAAATCCATTACCAAAAATTTGTTGGAAGAGAGATTCAATATTTGTGACAGAATTGTAAAAATGCAGCTGTATAAAATAGGATCTCTATACACAAAAGCAAACAAAAACCTTAACAGAAGAAAAGGTTACAATCAGTGACAGAGAAGCTATTATGAAAGATGATTATTGATATTCCATAATGAATCTTTACCCTGAAATGTTGGATTGATATAAAAGAAAGCTTTCCTCATTGCATCAGTAGAAAATAGGTTTGGTAATGATGAAGTCATTTTTCAGGTTGATAATGCAACTTATAGCAGAACAAAGAGCATTAAATCTTTTCTTCAGGAAAGCCATATCAACTCCATGAAATGGCTAGTAGTTTTCATCTTAATCTGATTGAAGATCTCTGGTGGAAATTGAAAAAAGAAAAGTCCTCTAGTAAAGCTAATTTTTATCAACTGTTATTCAAGAAAGAGCATTTACAGTTGAAATGGGTAGATGTAATTGAGTTCAATGCTAACAGTTTCTTCTCTTACACTTCTCACTTGGAGAATTCTCTTCCAGCTTCTTACTTCCCAGTCAACATTTATCTTCAAAACTTTAAATGCAATGTCAATCATTATATTCTGTCTTAATTTTTGTTCTTTTATTATCCTCTCTCCTATTTAGTAGTTTTTCTCATATTCTCTAACATTCAATAACCTCTTGTGTCTTTAGTGGTTTTATTGCCTTGCTTAGGGTGAAATGATTAAAAAAAATCTTTTCTTCAGAAAAGGCATATCAACTTCATAAGATGGCCAGTAGTTTTCATTTTAATCAAATTGAAAAAAAGTTTGGGAACCACTGATTTATTGCATGTTTTAATCAGATATTCATGAACTTTCAAACAGCTTTTCAAACCAAACCTCTAGTGTTGAATTTTTTGTAACAATATAAACATTTGTGTGGTTTGATAGTCTTTTAAATAAACATTGCAAGAATTTTTCATTGGAATTTGGAAAATTTTAGCAGATCATGCTCTCCCAGGGTAACTGGGTAGGTTGTGGAAAATCTACTCTTATTAAATCTTAATGAATTCAACCTGGTTGATTTCAGGTTCTAATCTTCCTAGACCCATCTCCAAACTCATTTTATGGCTTTTCATTATTATTTTTAATCCATTCTCTTCCATACTTAATTAGTTTCCCTGAATTTTTTCACAGTTTAATCTTTATTATTTCCAGCTTTAAATCATCATTAAACGTTCTCATGCAGTAAAACATTAAACCAGGATTATCACCCTGTTATACAAAAAAGCAATATATTTTTTTCTGACATAGAAATAGGTTTTGGTGTAAAGTGAGAGTCATACTGTACATGAAATGCTTATTCCTTACAGAAATATGTTCCATTATCTACAATATTGTATTATGCAAATTTAGAAATAAAAATCAGAATATAATACTATTCTATATTGTAAAATGTAAGATACCAATTATAATATGTTAAGTATTTGACTTTTAAAAATTTGGAATATGTAAACTGTCTTGTTTCAAAAAATCAAAATTATAATATCATGTGAAGTATTTTTATATGTTGTTAAATGAACTGAAGGACATTTATTTTTAGGTACCCAATATAGCAATTATTTCTAATAAATATATTAAACACGTATTAGTATGCATTTCATGTATTTTTCCATTTCTATTATATAAGTCGAATGTGTGTGTGTATATATATATATATATATATATATATATATATATATATATATATATATATATATATATATATATATATATATATAGTGTGTATATAATTATATATGTGATGTTATATTTATATTACCTACAGTTTATATATATTCTTCAAATATATGGAAAGCTATAATCATAAACATATTTATCTTTGTATTTATTTATAGATTTCTATAAATATTTTTTATACCAGAACAAAATCAAATATACAGTTTTATCAATCTCGAGGTGACACACTATTGTGAAATGGTCTGATGGCCAAATTTTACCAATTGAACCAGCCTTAAATACAAACTGCATTTCTTATTGACTGCATGGATTTCAAGAAACATATATAAGTAGGCAAGGAGAATGAATATTTTTTGTTTTGTTTTTTTTTTTTTAATCATTTCACCCCAAGCAAGGCAATAAAGACAATGAGATACAAGGGTGTGAAAGAATATGAGAAAAATAAAAACATTATTAAGAAGGGAGAACATTAAAAGAACAGAAATTAAGAAGACAAGATAACGATTGACATTGCACTTAAATTTTTTAAAATCAAAATTGAGAAAAGCAAGAACACGGAAGAGAGCTCCATAAGTGAAAAGTGCAAAGGATGAAACTCTTAGCATAGAAGTTATGGTTACATCTCGTCATTTGAACTATAAAATGATGAGACATTACTGCCAATCTAGTACTTAAATTCATAAAGTCAAGGAACCATAGAGAAAGGTTCATCAGAATAATTACCATGAAAATATTTCTAGAAAAGGTAGAGAGAAGCTACATTACAAGCAGTAGGAAAGTGACTGAAGCTGAGATACCAGATCAGGACCAAATACATTATAAATTCTTCTTTGTATTTTATCAAGAATCTCCAAATACACAGCATTTCAATTAATCATTCTAAAAACATCAGACTAGATATGACAGCAATATTCAATGCATTCACGAATGGTCAATATATAAATGTGTAAGATAGATTCTGGCAAGAAAAATGGTCTAATGCAATGGAGTGAACCAACTTTCTTAGAAACAGACCTAGCAATTGATTCAATATAATCTTAGGTAAGTTTAGGTAATTTTTTTTGGGGGGGGGGCTTGTCAAGGAATATAGTAACAACTGATGAAAATTTTAATACCAATATTATTTATTGTTTTTATTTTATCTTTCAGAGGCCCTTAATACTCGAAGTCTCCCTGTTGTTTGTACAACATTAAAAGTTCTCCAACATTTAGTAGTTTCAGCTGAACTTGTGGGAGAAGCACTTGTTCCATATTACAGACAAATCTTGCCTATTTTCAATATTTTCAAGAACAAAAACTGTAAGTAATACTAAAAGGTTGTAATTATCTTCTACTCACAGGACACGGAATTACTAATAATGGCTTGATTGTTGATTTTGTTTAGCAGCATATCAACCTCTATGGGTTACATAATGCCAAAATCTAAATATTCTAAATGCAATTTATTGCATGCCTTCAACTACAGATAAAAGTATTGCTGGTCATTTGGCATAAATAGGTATTGTTGGTAATTTTACTATAAATAGGTATTTTACTATAAAAATGTATTGCTGGTATTTTGACTATAAAAATGTATTGCTGGTACTTTTACTATAAAAATATATTTTTATACTTTTATAGTGTTTTGTTTTTGTTTGGGAGTCCATAATTGTGACCCTAACAGGTGCTACCACCCCAGGTCATGGTGGACTTGGGAACAACAGCAATTAAGAGGGGGTTCCATACTCCTCAAAACCTCCAATCTCCCAGTCAGAGGCCTTGCTGCCAGATGTAGTTTATTGTCATATCCAGGAGTAGAAATTACTAATAAATGTTTTAATACTGCATTCTGTACTTTTCAACCCATGACCATTCCCAGATAGTTATAAGAAAAGTGACATAATCTCTCTTAACGTACAGAAATGTGTTATTATGCACAGCTTCATTAATAATCTGAAACCATTTTCCATAAAATGGAATAATTATAAATTGTATACATTCCCCTACATGAAGATAATATTAAAATTATTTAATTTTTCTCAGTCGAGGCATGGGTCATATGTGATCTGGAGATGTATGTTATGTGTGCATTAGAGATAGACAGCAATAAATTTTGTGTGTGTGTGTGTGATGCATCTAGTTTTATTCCAAAGATTGCTGCATTATTGATGTTCTTATAAAGATTTTAATATTTTGCAATGATTTTTAGAATATGAGTTTGGTTAAAGAAATGTAACAAAATTACATCCATTTGTACTTGATAGAAACATGAAATGCGATCGAGTTACTTACAAATAAATATATTTGAATGTTGTCCCATAATAAAACATAGATATGTACACATGCTAAGATCACATGAGAATATAAGCAAAAGAATAGAAATCTTAATAGGTTCATAATATTTAGAGAGAAACAATGATAAATGTTACTACACCAATAATGCTCTCTTCTAGTCAGACAACAGGTCCTGCACCCAGATCTATGCAAGCACAGAACTAAGCAAGCTTGACTTTTCCCCTAGCATGGCTATAGATCCAAGTTATTGTTACTACAGCACTTTGTTATACATAATATGTCAAAGTGTATGTAACACTGTCTTATGTCTTGGATATCATTTTCATTGATCTATATTTGTTGCTGACCTTCCATTTACTTGTATTTATAACTAGCAGCATGGCCCAGCGTTGCCCGTGCTTGATTCAAAAATCGTATGACTCATTCAGCAATCGCTATCACTTGACATAAAATATTTTTGCGCTTCCTTGCCTTTAAAGGAGTGCCCTTTGCTGTACTGATGTTGCTACAGGCGTTACTTCTTGCCTATCTCACACTGCGAATTTTTTCTAAGCTCTATACTAAACATTAAATCTGTTACGAAAAAAGAACTAAACAAAATGAACACAAAACGATCAGCTTTAAAATAGGACTCGTAACTGGAAAAACCAAATGAAAAAAGAATGTTAACAACAAATACTTTTTCACACCCAACCCAGTTCTGCAGAATCAGAATCAACGTTGAGTTTAAGCAAGCGAATAAGCCAATTGGAGTAAAGTGCCATGCAGATTTAAATTTTTCCCACTTGTGACGAATGCAGCTATTGATTTTTTTGCATGCTAGCATGCTAGTTAACATTTGTGTCAGTCAGCTGTTGGCTCTCACGCTGGCCAAGAGAATCTTCCTGCCTATTCGTGGCAGCCAGCTATTGGCTCTCACTCTGGCCAGTAGAAAATGGCTGCAAACTACATGAAAACTGCCGTAGAAGCATGAAAAAATCGATTATTTCCACTATTGATAGGAATTGGGAAATGCAAAGTCAGTCTTAGCCTTCCCGCTAACTTGGAGCATGTGCATGTAAATTTTGGTGCAAATCCATCGAAAATTGCAGCCGTGCATTCATTACACACACACACATTCTGCCTTTTATAGACAGAGATAGTCTTATTGAATGTACAATATCAGAAGACAAATTATAAGTTCAGACTACATTTATATGTGTTAAAAGTAGTGCTTTGTTTGCAATAGAAATACATGGCAAATCGATCCCCCAGGATGGCATTTACAGAGTCGCTTAACAAATTCACAAAGATTTAAAAAAGAAAAAGATTTTATTTTCAAAAGGTCACTTGCAGTTGAGGGAGTGAATTTGTCCCCAGCAGTTAAATCATGAAACATGATTTAATGCCCCACTACAAATAACTGCTTTTATTTAAGATGATCCCCCCTCTCTGTCACACTCTTTTTGTCTCTCTGTGCTCCTCTATCTTTCTGTTTCTCTCTCAGATACTCAAAATAATCTGTGTTTTAATAGGATTAGTGCATGCAAATAATAAAATGTGCTAACATTTTTTTTTAATCTAATCATTTTTTATTTTGCTTATAAGTTCTTTTAATCTATTCATTTTCTGTTTTATTTAATATTTTTGTATAAATATTGTAGTTTAGGAGTTTAACCCATGCACACATAACAAGTGTCTTGGGATGACTAATCATATCTTATGGATATGTTACCCAGAAAATTAAGTACAGCTGAATATTAGGGATATTTGAGTTTTAATCTTGATCTAAATTTTAGTTAAAATATATTTTAAGAATTAGTAAAAAATTTATTTTAAATATGTTTATTTAAAATAAAATAAACATAAAAGAACATAGTAAATTAAAATTGATCACAACCATGTGATGAAAGCTGAATTTCATAGAACAGACAAATTATAATGAAATAAACACGTATGAAATGAAGCAAGTTCACAAAGATAAGATTTAAAAAAAGGAAAGTTTTTAATTTCAAAAGGTTGCTTGCAATTCATTAGGTCATGATCTATCCACTCATTACAAACACCTTTTATCTAAGATTATTCCACCTCCAATTCCTCTCTGTTGCACTCTTTTTGTCTCTCTACATACTCTCTCTTTCTGTTTGCCTCTCAACCAAGCATGACAAGCATATTAATATATAAATAATAATGATTTTGAACAAGACGGCTATTATTTGAGAAATAGCTGTAAAATAAGTTAGCCAGGATAATTTCTTGATGTTTCTCTTATGCCAAAGAAACTAAGTAAATAGCTTATGATCACTTGCACGTGATATCCAATAACAGAATACAGGATCTTAACAAGCAAAGTGCAAACCTCTTCTCATTTTGAAGAAGAGTGTTTTCTGCGGCAGTGGAACAAAATCAACCAACACTTCGCCTGTGACAAACTGGAGATCATTGCAATTATTTTAAGAACCAATTTGCAATATTGTCAAGACTATATAGATTGTGTTAAGGCTTGAACCACTGCAGCCCTTGTAAAATAAACTATACTATTTTCCTGAGATATCTACCTCACCCTCAACAATGTATAACATGCTACCTAAAAGAATTTGACCATGTAAATATTACTTAGTTTCAATTATCTCTTTTGAAGTAATCTCTATGGTTATGTATAGAGCAATCTAAAAAAGAATACTGCTTACAAAGGATAGCATAAAAAATCTGTACTACATTCTGTTTGTGTTCACTATTCCCTATATATATATATATATATATATATGAAAAATCATCTGAAATGGAACTAAAAGAAAATGAAAGGATAGTTTTCAAAGAGGAAAAACAGAAGCAACACTATCATAAAACATTTTATCAAAATAAAATTTATAGTCTATATCAGCAAAACCAAATCCACAGATGACAGCACAAACTAGATATCCTATGCTCTAACACTAACAGTAAATGGAAAAACACTCACCAGATATATATATATATATATATATATATATATATATATATATATATATGATGGATTTTTATTTTTATTACTTAAACGTTATTTTTAGTGGATGCCCACATTTGAGTAGATGCTCCATTTATTTATTAAACAGTATATTTATTCATTTTCTCCTACCAGCCTGGATATTCAAGAAGTCTTATTAAAGGAAAATATATGCTTTCCGGCATGATTCAAACCTGTGTCCCTCTGAACCAGTCAATGAAAATAAACAAATGTACTGTTTAATAAATAAACTGAGCATCTACTCAAATATGGGTATCCACTAAAAATAAAATTTATAATAATAATAATTATATATATATATATATATATATATATATATTATTGGAACAAAGTTTGTGGATACTGGAAACATTACATAATAAGTGTATTTTAAAATTAATACTAATGTATTTTTTGACTTAATTATATAAATATTAAATAGAAAAAAGATTGGTGGTTAGAGTTTGGGATATTTTCATTTACTCCATGTCAACATGACATCGCTAATTAAACAGAGTCAACATTTTCAATTTAATATACAAATACATTGTTATACAGGGCAGTGAGGATTGACACATTTTTAAATTTTAATCTTTTATTTCTAATTTTTAGTTCATCTATGTTGAGCAATTTTTCATTATTATTCATTTTTGTTACTTCTTTTTTGAATGTCAGCCATTTTTGCAGATTACTTCATAATGATTGAGGTGGCATTCATTTGCCACACTAAATTTTTATTAAAAAAATAAGCTTATATCTAACTGCATGTTCATTTCACCCAGTGATTGCTTCATTTATAAAAAAAAAAAATTTAAAAAAACTTCTTTCTTCATCTTCCAGTGAACATTGGGGATGAAATTGACTACAGCCAACAGAAAAGGATGAATGTTGGAGATTTGATCCAAGAGACACTAGAGCTATTTGAGCGACATGGTGGAGAAGATGCCTTCATCAATATCAAATACATGATTCCTACATACGAATCATGCATTCTAAACTGAAAGCTAATCAACAACCAAACACTAAGGAGTATCTTGCCTGGCATGGAAGCTGTTGCTCATCACTTTGGATTTCTATAGATGAAATTCTTTTTCTAACTTGCTCAGTTAATGTTATAAAGTTGTCATATTTTAACTCTTGATAATATAAAGTTGTCATATTTTGCTGAATCCCAATGAACAGTTTGTTGTCAATTTAAATTTTCTGTCTTTTTTTACATTTTGTTATATAAATGACAAAAAAACTGCTCAAATCTATTGTGACATACAACTCACATTATTTTGTCATAGTTATAAGATTAAAAAAAATATGATAGGTTATTTGTAAATCTTTATTATTTTATTTTTTACCAAATATTTTAGCAAACTGATTCTCCTCTCTTCTTCAGGAAAAAGCACTTTAAGTGTCATGTTCTTGGTCAGGTTGAAACATAATATTCTGGTATAGTCACTATAAGTCAACATTAAACAAAAGTACATTGAACCAGACTTCAGAATATAAGTATATTGATTCCTGAATCTGTAATGCTCTTAATTCTTCAAAATGTCTAACCCAAAGATTTTTCAGTAATAATAGATTTTGTATTGCCACTAAAAATGTTAATATTGAGCAAAGATCATACATATTCTGTCTTTGATCAATTTATACAGATTTCTCTAAATGTTTAGAAACACTTTTCACTAATTTACCAATAACCTATTTATATACACTAGCAATACATATGAACATTTCACAGTTTTCCTATTTGAATTTTCCTGATGAATCTTAATTCTCAAGTTAATGACTGAATAAGCTCCTTGTGAGTGCTACAACTATTTGCTTGATACCACATAGATGGATATTTATGCATTCATGCATCAAGAGATGCAGCAATGTCCATAGAGACTACATTGATACATAACATATTATTGCTGGTAGTATAAGCACAATATTTTATTTGTATAGTAAAAGACAAGTTGGATTAGGAAATGTTTGTACCTTACTTTTCACATAGCCCACATATATATATATATATATATATATATATATATATATATATATATATATTTGGAGAGAGAGAGAGATAAGTAGTTTAAAATTTGCTATATTTATGAAGGAAGAGTGTTTGATACAAATAAAAATTGTCACTGATTGATGTTATATTCAGCACCCAGAGTTTCATAGACAAGCCTTTTTATAATCATTTTGTCCACGCATCAGGAGGTTTCAGCAATTGACTGCCATTTTTCTCATTATTCATTATATTTAATTTAAGTTCAGTGTAATTAATTACTGCACTAGTTACTGGTGTTAGGTTGATTTTTGGGGTTTTTTTTGTCTCTGTGTGTGCATATATATATATATATATATATATATATATATATATATATTGTAACAGAGAGAGGTATACACACACTCACATGAAGGCACACATGCAAATATAACTTTTATTGACTGGAAGTGGAAATGGTGTTTATATATCAAAGTACAATTTGGGTTAAGATGTGTGTTTATCGATGAGAAACACAATCTCAGGCAGGAGGCGATGTTTAAATCTGGGTCATTAGAAAAAAACAATGAAAAACTGATCTAATTAAAATTTATCGGTTAAAAATTGAAATAGAGTTTACTCAGGCTACGAGATATTTGGTTTTGTTTAACAGTATTTGTTTTGATTAAAAGGTTGAATCAATGTTTAGATATCCCAAAGTATAATTTTGGTGAAGCGAGAAGAACTTGTGGTAAATAATTGGAGAATCGATTTACATGTCAAGGGATAGTTTTTGGCACTCATGATAATCGCGTGCCAGGCCAAGGGTCAATTCATGATCAAATAGATTTATCTATATAAACCAGCGTAGTAATGCTGAAGAGGAAGCAGACGGTTGGATGAGACGGAAGAGGCCAGATGAGATAGAGAGACGGGAGAGACCGCGATCGGTCGGCACATCGTCGTCACGTGTGTGAGCACCCGCAGAAGACCATTACGGGTCGCAGTGCTACAAGCAGATAGAAGAGGCCAGATGGGAGAGACCGCGATCGGTCGGCACAACGTCATCACATGCGTGAGCACCCACAGGCAACCATTACAAGCAGACTGTTGGGCAAGACGGAAGAGGCCAGATGGGAGAGAGAGATGGGAGAGACCACGATTGGTCGGCACGTGCGTGAGCACCCGCAGGCGACCATTACAGGTCACTGTGCTACTAAAAGACGGGAGAGAGACTCGGGGAACTAGACCGTTGTCGAGAGAGTCACGAGAGATTTGCGGGAAAATTAGAGAAGGAAGACTGTCCCCTGTTCTCAGAAGTCTGTATGAGACTGGACTACTAGTCATAAACTTAAGCCAGGCAATTCAATATGCGTTTATCACACACAAACCCTCTCTCTGTTGGGAATTCGCTGGATGCATTGGGTCTTTTTCTTTTTCTTTTCTCATTTATGTTAAATGTTTTTATTCTCCCTGTAACCTCTGTTCTGATGTTATCTTCTTATATAAAAGACGTCAATATTTCCCCCATTGTCGTCTGGCTTCTGCAGATATTATTTCTTGTTTTATTTTGACACATTCTAAACTTCCTACCGCCAACTCTCACAGCCGTGCCCACACCCCCAGTCGACTGTGAACGTATGGACAACACCCCGCTTACTGGATCTAAAAACTAACACAGCGTGGGAAGCAAGCAGGACTTGACCAGTTGACCTGTCAAAATAATCTACGGGTACTCAGGGAGCATACAGCCAGTTACCCCTAAGGTCGATTCGAACTGAGTGGACACCTCAACCCAAAGAGGAAGACGCCGGAGGTTGAGGGGCTGGGGGCAAAGTGGTAGATATATATAATTATAAATATGGTTTCTGTTTTATGGATACACTTATTTGAGTAAATGCTCTGTTTTTTAATTAAAAAGTATTAATTACATTTACTGTTCAAAGTTCTATTCTATATGGAACTATCATTTAGCCTCATGTGCTATGACCATTTGGCTACAGAGAACTTCCAGTTTAGCAAAGGTTGAATTGCTATTTTTAAACATACATCTTTGCTAATTTTCTCAATCTATCATATTTGCCTGAAATTGTAGCCTAACGTAAACAATGACAATATATTATATGAAATGGATTAAATCCAACAAATATTTTAATATATTTTCTGTTTATACATTTTTTATGGGTACTCTTATTTGAGTAAATGCTCTGTTTTTTAATTAAATAGTATTAATTACATTTACTGACCTGAATGTTCAAGAAATTTCATATTAAAGGTCATAGCACATCAGGCCAAATGACAGTTCTGTATAGGATACAGGTTCTATTCTTGTCAGAGGACACTTATTTTCTATGAAATTTCTCAAACATTCAAGCCAGTAAATTGAATTTGAGCTTTGGCTGAATGGTCAGAGCACATCAGGCTGAATGATGGTTCCATATAGAATATAGGTTCAATTCCTGTCAGAGGAAATTTCTCAAACATTCAGGGCGGTAAATGTAATTAATACTGTTTAAAAAACAGAGAATTTACTCAAATAAGTGTATCCATAAAAAATTATATAAACAGAAAATATATTAAAATATTTGTTGGAATTAATCCATTTCATATATATATATATGTATATTTAACTAAAAAGAAAGAACAGTAAGATATGTAATCTGGTGTTCTTATTGATATTTTTATTTTTTACAAAATAGTGCTCAATGTAAATTTACATATTATAAATTAACTGATTTAAAATATGGTTTTTTCACTACACAATAATAACCATGTTTCGAAAATGGAAGCTAAAAACTTTAAATTTAATTTTGTAATTAAATTAGAAACATTAGTTCCATTTCATCCTCAAGTGAATTTTGGATGAAATGGAACTAATTTTTAATTTAATTACAAAATTAAATTAAATTACAACTTCCATTTTTGAAACATGGTTATTACTGTGTAGCGAAAAAAACAGTATTTTAAATCAGTTAATTTATATATATATATATATATATATATATATATATATATAGGTACTGTGAAAGAAAAATAATACCTCAGGTTTAAAAATGAATTTTTACAAATAAAAACTCTTGAAGCTTTTATTTTAGTTTTAATTTCAAGTAAACAGATTAAACTTAATATTTTCAATAAGCAAAATACTTTGCTGTATTTCAAAATTAAATTAATCGTAATTAGTTTTTTTTTAGATTGCTAAAAATGACTGATTTTAGCCATATTTACTTTTCTTTCAGCCCAACATAATTCTCTTTATTAAAAATCTTTAAAAAATAAAATATGCTTTTCTGAAACTTTATTTGAGGAAAATTAGCTGATTTGAATTTAATTAATATGATTTGAAACAAATATTACTCAATTTTAGTTTAAAATATTGCAAAAAAGCAATTTTTGGGAAATTTAACTAATTTTTTGATAACTTTTTATAAAAAATATTGATGATTTAAATTCTCCATGGAGTTCTGCTTTTAGCTAATATAAACATTAAGCCCTATAATTTCTTGAAATTTCATAAAATTAAATAAGTGGTGGAGTAACAGATGTTAAAAAATATCCTTAACAAGCTTTTCTGAAAAAGAAACATTTCTAAAATAGTTTCATTCATTTGTGAATAAGTTCTGAAAGTTTCACTGAAATTTGACAATTATTTGAATTTTGCAATGTGTTTTCATCACAAAAAACACTAAAATTTCCTATACTAATTTGATGCACAAAAAAAGAATTCAACCAAAATTTTGAATGTTTTAAAAAGGATTAAAAAATAATCAAAAAATCCTTTGGTCTATTCTCCTTATAACAACATAAACATTTTGATGATAAAACTTTGTTTTTATTAAGTTAGGGGCTTTTTTTTTTCATCATGTATGCTCATTTTTTAGCAAATCTTTAGAGATACTTATATATATGTGTGTGTGTCTTTGCATGCGTGTATCTTGCTAGATAATTCTCATTCAGTCTGATTAATATTTCTTTCTCTATATATTATCTCTCATTTTATTAACAATAAAAACACAAGCATTTAAGTCACAATGGACTTTACTCCAATGCAAGTAATTTGTGATTTGTTTGTGAAGAAAAAATTTAAAAATCCAAGTTAAAATTTGGTAAATTGAACAAATAAGACAAAGTCAGATTTTAGTGGACACATTATTAAAACATTAATTAATAAGTTAATCAGAGTGGTTACCAACTTTAGATAAAATTTAATTATAATTTACAGAAATAAAATATTTTCATAGCATTTAAAACATTAATAATCTGCAACGTTTCTGCATTTAAGCATGTATAGTTATTAAGTTATTAGAAATTTTATGCTCTTCAAGTAATATATTTTAGAATAGAGCCAAGAATTTTTCTATTAAATATTTGCATACATTTTGTGTCTTATTATGCCTGTATATCAGTTATAAATAGAAGGAAAATATATCAAGTAGTCAATTTACATGATAATCTGAGCTGTTAAAGTTCAAGTTAAAGTAGTAAGAGAAAGCATTAAAATAGCTTCCTGTGATTAGTCTATTTTCTGTTGTATAGAACTGTCTTCATAGCAAAAAAGTGGACTAAAAAAAAAATCAATTCTTGTAAATCGCCTCAACTATTTTTACACTATATAATTTTGCATTTTATTTTATTTTTTTCCTTTCCTTTTCCTTTGTGGATGAGTCGAATATTTTTACAAGGCCAAATTTTTTAATCTCTCAGCCATCCACAAGTTTAAATAAATATTATTGTCTGTAGATGTGTTGTATGTAGATGTTGGTTGTGGCATGCTTTTTTCAAATAAGATAATGGTTTTAGAAAACACAATAAAATAGATTAATCCTGGCTTATATTTGAAAAAGGATAATTTATTTCAGGATGTCTTACACTGACATCCTGAATAACACTGTTTTATGTGAAATTATTTTTAGTTGTCATAGCAATGTAAATATTCTGTCAGCTATACTTTATTGTTTTTATGTATTTGTTGAGTTTTATCAAATAATGGTACTGGGTCATATCAGTCAGTTATGTGCCATGCATGATACATACGTAGGCAATCATGTATCTTTCAATACATGATTAATGAGGCAGATTTTTTCCCACAGTATGTTGCCATTTCTTTCTGTGGTAGACCAAAGCTATAGAACCTGGTCTGTCCTGCTATTTACCCATAGCTGGGAGGAGAAGAGGATTCATATCTTTCCCAAGGGTATTAGCACGTAAGTGAATGTAATAGATTCAACTGGAATTCAAACTCAGCTCTCTGATTCCTCAATCCGAGCCACTATCCATTACTCCACCATGCCTCGTCAGTCATGTATTGAAAGATGCATGATTGCCTAAGCATGTAGCACACATGGCACATAACTGACTGGGTCATATAGTCGTAGTCTAATTTAAATATGCAAAGGTTGGAGACTATAAGCATTCTAATCTAAATAAGAACTGGGGAGGTTGTCCATTTTCAGTTTGTGTTACTACTTACTTGAATATTGACCACTATGATATAAGACTTTACAACCTGTAGGCTTCAGTAGAGAACAAAATCTTCTCAGTACTCCAGTAGTTTCTTCAATGTTCTTGCTGAATTTAGGACAATTCATCATCAAAATAGTTTTGCATTTCCTTTAGATTGTGGAAGTTTGAGACATTGAAAATTTGGCCTTGTAAAAATAGTCAACTTGTTCACAAAGGAAAAGAAAAGAAGAAAGCAGATTAAATGTAAATACAAAATTTTATAGTCCAGAAATTGTTGAGTTTTACAAAAATTCTTTTTTTAATTTTTTTTTTTTCCAATGAAAACAGTTTTTGTACAACAGGACATTGACTAGACACAGAAAGATTTCTTGATTACTCCTTTTACTACTTTGATTCAAATTTTTACTCAGACTTCTACTATGAATGCACACTTATTTGATATGTTATCATTTATTTATACATGGCACACAGACATCGTAGTGAACACAAGACTACATGCACAAATGCTTGGCTCTATTCTAAAATGTGTTACTTGATGGCTATAAAATTTCTAATAACTATACATTCTTAAAAGCTCAAACTTTGCAGATTAGTAATTTGATATATGCTTTAAATGGCATATAGTTTCATCTTCCTCCATAAATTATAATTAAATTTTATGTTGGTATCTACTCAATAAGGATATCGTATCTTATTAATAATTTTCAGTAAAAAGATCTTTTTATTTTGTTTAAAATTGATTAATAGAATGTTTTAATTTTCATTTATATGGATTTTTAAAGTCTTTTCTTTTTACAAGCATGGCTATTTTCAAATCAGAATTGATAGATAAGTAAATGTACCCATGTCAACCCAATTAATTGAATACCATCTTCACCCAAGAG